CTGCTTTCAGTCCCAACCCATGTATTTCAAATCCAGTTCCAGCATCCAGCTCCTGAACCCAGTTGCCCTCTGCCACTGAGTCCAGTTTGGGACTTGCCCCAGGCCCTGCTCCACAGCATCAGTGGTGATGATGTAATTGCCATCTGGAGGGGGGAGTGGAGGGAGATGGAAGGAGGCATTTAATGCTGGCTGCATATATATATATTCTGTTTTATTATTATTATTATTTTCATTAAAGCTGTTTCAGCTTTATTTTCTAATTCATAAGTCTCTCTCTGTTCTTCCCTTTCTCTGCACCTTTGAGAGGGTAGAGGGGTTAACAGAGAACATCTACTGTAGGCCTGGGGGCAGCCTTGACCCTAATCCATGACACATTTATTGGTGCCCAACCTGGGGCTCAGTTGAAACCCTGATAGGTTGATGCTTTGGAAGTGACTGGCACTGAAGCACAGCTCCTCCTGGCACTGCCATTACCAGCACCAGGCTGGATGTTCAAGGGGAAATTACCTTCCACTCATCACATCCCTGACACCACGTGGAGTAAGTGGCTTGCACTAATCACACAGAGAGCTCAAACAGGGCAGCTGCATCCTCTGTGAGGCTTAGAAGAGACCACGGACTGGCCAGAAGGTAAAGGAGTGCCACCAGGAGAGGCAGTGACACATTCTGATATAGTCAGTTATCAGATAATGATAAACAATATGCTCTCTCTACTGATGGATCTTGCCCTCTTGTAGGAAACCATTGGGAGTGAAAGGCTGATGTGAGGAGTTCCACACCACAAATTGCATAAGCAGCTGAAGGAGAATGTGAATGAAGTCAGTCTGCAGAGGTAAAAGCCATCCATCTGGCCTCAGACACTGCTGAGTGAGAAAAGTGGCCAGTGCTCTATCTCTACTCTGGCTCATGGCTGGCAGCAAATCCCTTGGGGGAGTGTGTGTGTGCTTAAAACAGTGGAAGCAGAATAACTGGCAGCCCAGAGGTAAATCTATTCAGGCTGCCACATTGTACACGATATTGCTGCTCAGCTAGAAAAACCTGTTGTAAAAGTACATCAGGTAAGTGCTCATGTACCTAAAAGTCAGGCCACTGAGGAATATCAACACAACCAGAATGTGGATCAGGCTGGCAAAGTGTTCCAGACAGACAGACAGACAGGGAACATAAAGGGGAACTGTTTTTAACCCATGGGCCGATGACACTTCAGGACATGAGGGAAGAGATGCAACACACCAATGGGCTTGTGACCAGGGAGTGGATTTAGCAAGGGATGCTGTTGTGCAGGGTATCCACAACTGTGAAACCTGCCCCACAGTCAAACAAAAGGGTCAAAACCTTTGTGGTATCAGGGATGATGGTCAGAGTAGAAGTGTCTGGAGGCCTGGTAGGTTGATTGTATCACACTCCCTGAAACAATGCCTCTGGGAAAATTTAATGATACAATGGACTGTTAAAAATTCCTCTGACAGCAGCCAGGGGTGGAACCTTTACAAACTGGGACAAGCATTTAGCACAAGGCAGCTGGTTTGTTAACACCAGAGGATCCATCAGTCCAGCCCATCCTGCTCAGTCACACCCCTTATCTACAGGAGAAGGGGATTAAGTCCCTGTGTTGTATGAAAGGAATTTATTGGGGGAAAATGTGTGGATATTCCCTGCTTCAGGCAAAGGCAAACCCCTCTGTGGGATTGCTTTTGCTCAAGGACCTGATGATGAAAGATGGTGAAGTACAATATGTACTTCATAGGAAAAAGAATTTGATTTCATAAGCAGGTGAGAAGATCCTGATTTACTCCATTAAAAAAAAAAAAAAAAAGAAAAAGAAAAAGAAAAGCAGGAAATGGTATAAAATTACTCTAGCCTGTATGTGATTTGTTTAGGTTTTGGATCAGATGTATGGCATCTATTTATTGTTTCTAAAGCACATTTTTAAAACCCATGATGATTAATAAATATAAAGTTTACTGTAGATAGACTGATCTAGAGAAGATCTAGATCTTTCCAGGAATGCCACTAAA